GCCTTATATGGTGTTTTGCTAATTATGCTAATCTCCTCTCCTCGTGCACGAGCAGCTGGATACGAACAGGTGGAATTTACGCAGCTCATTTACACACTTTTCCTGAAGATAGAAGAGTTTGTTGAATCTGACGTGACATGTTTGTACGAACCCTTTGTACGAACAAAAGTAAGAGAAATTTAGGATAAGAATACGAACATGTTCTTGCATGAGGCCCATTGATGTCCACTCACATTTACTTTAAGAACTCAGTTTGAACACAGAGAATGTGAATGGTGCCATATGAATACAACATAGCATGCCACTGGTGCACCTCTCTAATGAGATGACTTAGAAAGACAAACAAAAACTACATTGATTAAACATAAAAGCTTCATAAATACCAGACCAGATTCTATAACATACTGTAGGCTTCCTGCTATGTACCATTCACTGTCAGGCGGTCTAGGAACTTGTGTTATAAGTGACTTTTTAAAGTTGTTACAATCATGGTATCAATTTAGGCATGACAGATGAAGGCTTAGAATCTGCTGTTTCTAAAGCATACAGTTATGAGAGAGTATCACATAAGAGGCTACACCGTGGTGTTATTTTCTTACAGCCACAGAAGTTCAAGTCAAATACACACAAGTGAGACGGAGGTATAACAAGTAACGACAAAAAAAGAAATGGCACCTGAAATAAAACTATTACCTAGAATCTCAAACTTTTCATTGCAGAGCTCACTAAAGAGCTTTCAAGAGATCTTGAATGAGAACATGATTATAACTGAGACACAGTCAGTGCCAGYAATACCAAACTCCAGTTTTCTCAGAAATTTCCTCCGTGTGTTCACACTCTTCACTTTTAACCTGCAGTGATCRAAACTGTGAACTTTTCTTCAGCTGATTGTTGTGTGTTTCTTTTTCAAACATCTTAATTATTAAAACCTTTCATTACAAGTAGTTTACCCTTCAAAAATATTTCAATTGAAGTTTGCTTATATAGCCCCTGTTGACACTAAAACGTCATCTTATTTGTTTAAACGGTGTTTAATTATTGTGAAGTTACACAGAGAGTAACGTCAGCTGTTTTAAAACCAAAAATGAGATTATTTTTGAACTCCATATGATTCATCTCTTAGCTTAAAGGTCAAGTTGATTCAGTTTGGAATTTGGGTAAAATAAATTCAAACTGAAATTAAAGACCAAGTATGATTTGATKGATTTTTATACCAAAGTTTTAGAGTACAATCATCTTGTCTAGAAAAATGAAAGTTTCATTTAAACCTGTGGTCCTTTACATATTTTCTTTAAAGAACATCTTTCTTACTGCCAAGCCAAGCTGAGCCTGCCCCCAAATTCCCTCACTACAACCCACCTCTCCGAAAGACGCAATCAACCTTTCTCTCTTTATCAAAAATAAAAATAAAGTGAATAGT